AAAAAAAAAAAACTCCCCTCCCCCATTTTCGACTGTTCCGGACGCAACGATGCGGTCTGTTTTTCAAAATTCAGCTTCGATTGGTCCCAAACAGATCATTAAAGGTGTAAAATAGCCATGGAAGAGTCAACTTCATATTCTGGAGTTATGATTATGCTCACGGCTACCAACTATACGCTGTGGAAACCTCGGATGGAAGATTTCCTCAGCTGTAGAGAGCTCTTTGACCCAATAGAGCTGAAGGGTATTAACCCTGATCCGTCCAAGGCATTAGAATGGAAGAAAATCAGTAGAAAAACTATTGGTCAAATCCGACAATGGATTGATCATAGTGTCTTCCATCATGTTGCACAAGAAACCGACGCATATGTCCTTTGGAGGAAGCTGGAGGACATGTACCAGGCCAAGACCGCTCGGAATAAGGCCTTGTTGATGAGGCGCTTAGTCAATATGAAGTTGAAAAGTGGAACTTCTGTTGCCGAGCATACCAGTGAGTTCCAGAGCCTGGTAAATCAACTATCTTGTGTGGAGATACCGCTTGGAGATGAAATGCAATCTCTGCTACTTCTTAGTTCCCTTCCTGATAGTTGGGAAACACTTGTTGTTACTCTCAGCAATTCAGCCTCAAATGGCAAACTTTCCATGTCCGTTGTGAAGGATGCCTTATTCAACGAAGAGGCAAGAAGGAAAGACATGGGCACAGATCAGACCCATGCCCTTGTGATGGAGAATCGAGGAAGACCACAAGGCAAGCAACAAAGGAGCGGTAGAGGGAAGAGCAGGGGTAGAAGCAAGGGGAGGCAATCAGATGATCGGAGATCACATGTGTGCTATCATTGTGGTCTAGAAGGTCATATGAAGAAGAATTGCTATAAATGGCTCGAGGAACAGGGCAAAAGCAATTCTCAGTCGAAGAATAGTTCTCAGCAGAAGAACAAGGGCAAGAGTGGTGAAACTCTTATCACTGTCTCAGGTGATGTAGCATATTGCTCTAACCATGGTGAGACGTGTCTTCATGTCTCAAGAGAAGACATTGAATGGGTGGTAGATACTGCAGCATCCTATCACGTTACTCCCAACAGAAAATGCTTCACAATATACCAAGCTGGAGACTTTGGATCGGTGAATATGGGAAATTCCAGTTCCTCTGAAATTGTCGGAATTGGTGATATCCAGGCAACGACAGGAACCGGGAGTACAATCTTGTTGAAGGATGTCAGACATGTGTCGGATCTTAGGTTGAATCTTTTGTCAATGGTGGCTCTTGACAAAGAAGGATATGAAAATCACTTCGGCGCAGGCACATGGAAGTTGTCAAAGGATGTTCTGAAAATTGCCCGAGGACATATTTGTGGGACACTGTACAAAACACATTTGAAGATCAGTACAGAAAGCCTCAATGTTGGGAGGAGGTTTCCCAGGATCTATGGCACCAGAGACTCGGCCATGTGAGTGAGAAAGGGCTGATTACCCTGATGAAGAAAGATCTTATCAAGGTTGATAAGAGTGCGGCGATGGGTTCTTGCAATCATTGCCTGTTCGGCAAGCAACATAGAGTCTCATTCAATACAAGTTCAACAAAGAGATCAGAGTTGTTAAGCTTGGTACACTCTGATGTTTGCGGTCCCATTAAGGTTGAATCACTGGGTGGAAGCAGATATTTTCTGACTTTCATTGATGATGCTTCTCGAAAGGTGTGGGTATATTTCCTGAATACGAAGGACCAGGTGTTTGAGTACTTCAAGGAATTTCACGTCATGGTGGAACGTGAAACAGGAAAGAAGCTGAAATGTCTCCGATCTGATAATGGAGGCGAGTATACTTCCATTGAGTTCGATGCATATTGCAGGACATATGGCATTCGACATGAGAAGTCAGTACCACGTAGCCCTCAGCACAACGGTGTTGTTGAAAGAATGAATCGGACTATCATGGAGCATGTCCGAAGCATGATGAACATGGCTAAATTACCAAAGCCATTTTGGGGAGAAGCTGTCAAGACCGCATGTTATCTAATCAACCGATCACCTTCAGTTCCATTAAATTTTGAAGTTCCAGAGAGAATATGGACTGGTAAGGATCCGACATACTCACATCTCAGAGTATTTGGTTGTGTAGCATATGCACATGTATCCAAAGAGCTCAGGAAGAAGCTCGATGCAAGGTCCATCCCATGCATTTTCATTGGTTATGGAGATGAAGAGTTTGGATACAGATTTTGGAATCCAAAGGAGAAAAAGGTGATCAGAAGTAGGGACGTTGTGTTCCAAGAAAATTTGACAATAGAAGATATCGAAAAGCCCAAGATGTCTCAGAAGTCAAATGTGGGTGCTCAAGTTTCAGATGAAGCACCAGAATTGTTCCGGAGAAACAATGAAGATGATGTACCAGAAGAAGATGAGGAGACAGAAGAGAGTGCAGAGCAAGGGGAGCAACAACCTACCTCGCCAGAGCAAGGGGAGCCACAACCCATTTTGCCAGACACCAATGTTGGAAGTTCTTCTCAGATGGTTCTACCCACTCGTAGATCTGAACGAGGTCATATACCATCAAAAAGGTACTCATCATCTGAATACCTTCTATTGACAGAAGATGGAGAACCAGATAGTTTTCAAGAAGCCATATCTCATAAGGATAAAGAAAAATGGATGGTTGCGATGCAGGAAGAGTTAGATTCTCTGCAGAAAAATCAAACTTATGAGATTGTTAAACTTCCAGAAGGGAAAAAGGCTTTTAAAAATAAATGGGTGTTCAAGCTGAAGAAAGATGCAAATGGACAAGTGGTGAAACACAAAGCTCGATTGGTTGTCAAAGGCTTTCAACAGAAGAAAGGGATTGATTTTGACGAGATCTTTGCACCAGTTGTCAAGATGACCTCAATTCGAGTCATACTTGGTTTGGCAGCAAGTATGAATTTGGAGCTTGAACAGATGGATGTGAAGACAGCTTTTCTTCACGGAGATTTGAATGAAGAAATCTATATGCAGCAGCCAGAAGGTTTTGAGGTTTCAAGTGAGAACCTCGTGTGCAAGCTATCTAAAAGCTTGTATGGTCTAAAGCAAGCACCAAGGCAGTGGAATAAGAAGTTTGACTCGTGCATGAGGAGTCAAGGTTACAAGAAGACTACTGCAGATGAGTGTGTTTATATCAAGAGATACTCAGACGGAGGTTTCATAGTTCTTCTACTGTACATCGACGACATGTTGATCGTTGGAAATGATGCAGAGAAGATAAGCCAGCTGAAGAAAGAACTTTCTAAGTCTTTTGATATGAAAGATTTAGGAAAGGCTCAACAGATCCTTGGGATGCAGATTACTCGAGACCGAGAGAACGGTAAGTTATGGCTATCTCAAGAGAAGTATATTGAGCGAATACTTGAAAGATTTAATATGAGTGATGCCAAACCAGTGAGTATTCCACTTGCAAATCATTTCAAGTTGAGCAAGAGATTATGTCCAACATCCAAGGAAGAGATGGGGGAGATGTCTGTAGTGCCATACTCTTCAGCAGTTGGAAGTCTGATGTATGCAATGGTGTGTACAAGGCCAGATATTGCTCATGCAGTGGGTGTAGTAAGTCGTTTTCTTTCTAACCCCGGGAAGGAGCATTGGGAGGCAGTCAAATGGATTCTCAGATACTTGAAGGGTACTTCTAAGTTATGTATTTGTTACGGGGGAGCTGATCCAATCATGGAAGGATATACTGATGTTGATATGGCCGGAGATATTGATTGTCGAAAGTCTACTTCGGGCTATGTCTACACTTTTGCAGGGAGAGCAATTTCTTGGCAATCAAGATTGCAGAAGTGTGTTGCTTTATCCACAACAGAAGCTGAATATATTGCTGCCGTTGAAGCTGGTAAAGAAATGTTGTGGCTAAAGCGCTATCTCCAAGAACTCGGGATTAAGCAGAAAGAGTACAAGGTATATTGTGATAGTCAAAGTGCTATTGACTTGAGCAAGAACTCTATGTACCATGCCCGCACAAAGCATATTGATGTTCGGTATCACTGGATACGCGAGAAGATTGATCAACAACTGTTGAAACTAGTGAAGATCAATACGAAGGAGAATCCATCAGATATGTTGACAAAAGTGGTTACACTGGATAAGCTTAAGCTATGCAGAGACATAGTAGGAATGTTTGTTCAGAATTTGCATGGAAATGGGAGAATTGAAAGTTCCATGCAATAAGCTTCTGCACACACATGAAGACTTTGAATGGCACACCAATGAAAGAAAATGGCTAGCCACCACCTCCACCAAACCTTCTTCATTCACACCATTTTGTCAATGGTGGTGTGCTAATTCATATCTATAAATAGGGTGTTTATTTTATTCATTCAAATCATCCTTGAGAGTGATCAATCAACCTTGAGAGTGTTGAAACACAACCAAGATAGAGTTGTGGAGTGTTTGAGAGTTTTTTGTTTAGAGTTTGTAAATCTCTTGTGTTATTATTCTTGTGAGTAATAGAAACTTGTTTTTCTCTCAAATTATGTTTATGATCTTGGGATGATACTACAACATATATATATATATATATATATATATATAAATTAATAACACTGACATGCATTGGAGATTCATATTAATGAATGGGAAGCCAATATAACTATATATCTTGGCTTAGTGGCTTAGTCGTATATAGTGCAGGCCAACGTAGAGAATTCAACATTTGCAACAACGGGTGTAAAAATGCGGGTCGTCGATCAAACCCATATGTAAACACTACTAATATTACTGCAATTTCAAACCAGTCCACATCACAATTTATTCAACAATATTAGTCGGTTCCCCTGTGGATCCGGAAAGCGGAAGGTCCCTGTACCAAAAAAAAATATTAATAATCCTTCGTTAATTAATAAATTTGCCTAATGATGCACCACGGTTTCTAATAGTAAGAGTACAAATATGGCAATTGAGAGGAAAACCTTGCTCGAAAATGAAAATCAAAGTAAGATTGACAACCAACAAAAGAAAAGTCATCTAATCTTCTTGGTTACTTATAGATAAATATTCTCATATATATGATGATCACGATCGAAACATGTCGTGATCTTGATCAAAACTCCGATTTTCATTCCTTGAAGAAAACCCTTGATCAGCACCGAAGGTGATGTTCATGTTGTTGTGGTCGTGTATCGTAAACATGTTATGTTGTTGCATATGGATTGGTGGATGCTCTACTTGAGACACGCGCATGCTACAGGTTCCAACGTCGTCCGCAGTAAATTCGATTGTTCGATTAGTTCCTGCAAAGATTTGGGATCTCATAGGGACTTCCCCGGTGAATTGTTGTACCATGGCCTTGAAATTTTTTAGGTCGGTTTTGATTAAGGTGGCTGGGGCCCTTTGAGAAGCCCTCGACCGCCTTTTGGCCGCGGGCTTTGCTATACGGCCTTGATCGAGTGTCAGGTTATTATTTCTTGAAGTGGTGGTGGTGGTGCTGGTGCTGGCGGTGGTCGTGGAGGTTGTTGGCGGAGGAACTCCGACTTGACCGATGTGGGTTAAGTTAGAGTGATAGAGTTCCATCCAATCACTAGGGCTTGACATGGTTTGATTAGCTTAGATAATGTTTGTTGAAGGAGATGAGTTAAAAGCTATGTGGTGTTTATTGGTAAATAGGCAACACAAACAGTGAAGTATGGAGAGGGGTAAGAAAGATCAATACAAGTGAGTTGAAGTATTTATGGACATTAAGTGTGGATGAATAAAAGTCTTGGTCAACATTTTTTATTTATTCTTTTACTTATTGAATTCTTAAATTTTGTTTAATGTTTGGTGATGTGGACTTGTATATGTGAGCAAGACTGTTGGACCGAGTAAAACTAGCAATCTAGGAAAAGATTTATTAAAACTGACAATTCTGATGAAAATGATTTCACTAAAGTGAAGAATGGTTGAATTGAAGTTAGATATGTAAAGAATCATGATAAAATGAATAAAGAATCATGATAAAATGAATTTGTTGTCCTCGTGAAATTAATAAAATAACACATGCATAGAGAAGTCAATTTTGCGGCTGATTATATGGCGGTCTTGGCGTCATCCTCCACGCAGGGCATGCACCGGTGTGATTCTCCTCCCACAGAGATGAGGTTGGTAGCTTGAATACGACATTATCGGGGTATCTCATCTGCGACGAGTTCTAGTCTAGTATCGTAGTTTGGGCCTCGGCCTCCATCTTTATTAAAGAAAAAAAAAGAATTGGTGTTTCTGT